AAATGAAGACCAGTATTTAACGAATTTGGAGCTCGAGAAACGGGTTAAAGCAATAATAATAAAAATAATAATTATAATAATTATAATAATAATTATAATAATAATAATAATAATAAGCGAATAATCTGAAACACAGTACACCAAGGCAGTTAACACTGACAAATATTTTAAGGCTTACTGTTGGGTAGCATACATACATTCAGTCAGACAAGGACAGACGCATACACTCGTATTCACAAACTTAAACACACACACACACACACGCACACAGACACACACCAAAATCAGTGCAGACACGAACACACTCAGACATATCAATAGAAACGAAGATGAAATTTGAGAAAGATTTTAGGGGAAAAAAAAACAAATTGCACTTCAAACACCAGTCGTCATCCGTAGAACACAAGCAGTAGAAATAAGTGCACAAACCACAAAACTGAGCTACAGTTCAAAACAGATTTTTACATTTTCAAATCAAACTCAGGTATAACCAACGAAAGAAAAAAAAATTTTTTTCTTTTTAAAAAAATATGAAACTAAGAAAAACATCTAACAAAAGCAAAAAAACGAGCAAAAAGGCAATCAGGAATAGAAAGTTTTTGTTGTTGTATAAGGCCTCATCAAGACAGGTTTGACGCCGCTGTACAAAGAGCCACAATCGAACGTTACCCGTATTGAGATTCAAAAAAGCTCCTAACTACACAAACAAACACAATTTTCTGGACGTCAACTCATGCTACACACAATCTCCGACAAATACATGACGGAACAAAAACAGTAGAATTGAAGATTTCAGAAGAAAAAAAAAACATAAAAAAAAATACAGTTCAAGTGATCATTTCACTGCTTCGCCATAATTACACCGCTATTCAAAGCAATATATCTTTGAAGTATCGCAGCCAGGTCCACACAATTTCCTTCACCCAGACTGTTAGTTGGACCTTTATTCAAGACTTCCATCGACTCATTCAAATATCGCATAATAACTTCGAGAGCTAAATTACAAAATATAAAAGAACGAGGATTAGAAGGCAGTAAATTAAAAAAAATATAGATATTTGCAGAACCAATAAAAAAAAAACTGCCAAGCAGGATGTTCAAAGTTGTAAACCTTATTCACCTGCTAGTAATGCCGCGGTGCCAAATCCATGTGTTATTAATGAAAATTGTGTTAAAGGCTCCTGAACAGCTGGCTCGAGTAAATTTTCAGACCTGCGCCCTTGCACGGGACTACCATCCATTTTTAAAACATCTGAGAGCACGACCAATGCTTTCCTAAAAAAGAAGATACAGCGAAATCATTAACGACAATTGTCGAGTAAAAATAGTTTAAAGCAGAATAATCTATGATAAAACTCACTTGGCGCACTCTACTTCATGCTTAAGTCTTTCAATTTCAGCAGCAGGAAACCGGAGGTTTCGCGAGTGAACATAAGAAGCAATTTCTTTTGATGGGAAGTAGGCAGTGCAAGCCGACGAGAAATCTTTCGCCAAATGCATTGCTTCACCTAAATTTTTGAGATATAAATTAGTTTCTAAAAACCAAAAAAAAAGGCCATGCCAGTTTGCTGTTAGATAAAAGGACGGATTAAATATCTTTCTATAATCCAGAAGCTGAAAAGCCAGCACAAAAGTTTTACATAAAATGGCTCCGAAATGTTTATATTTGATGTCTTACCCTCAACAAGTGACGTAAGTAGCGTCACACTCGCTGACTTTCTTCTCCCTGCCGGCAAACTGATCCCAATTTTTTCCAGCGAATCCCGCAAAGACTTTCCTCCATTTTTCGATTTCGCCCTAGAGGATTAGATATCAAACACAGTTCAAAAGACCTTATAAGAACACGGCACTGTGCTTAACAAGATTAAACACCTAGATTTAAAGAAACTGACTTCAGTTATGAATATAAAAAAGATATGACACGCTCCTTAACACAAAACAAACGGTAGTGTCAAAGTCTGTAAAACAATATAACCTTTCAATAAAATCACAACATTTTCACAAGCAACTCTCTCGGAAGGCGAAAATTTCAAAGCTTTCCTAGCTTCCCAAATAAGCCGTTCTAAAAAAGGAAAAAAATGCTCACCTCCGTAAGATGCCACCTAAAATAGAAGCATTCAGAGCCTCCGGATGACTGAGCCTCCTTTGGAGCTGAAAAAGGAATTTAAATGCCAGACAAAACAAAAATTAATCTAACTTTGGATAAGCACAGAAAAGCTCATAAAAAAGAAAAAATAAATAGAG